GGAGCTCACTTTGTAGCCTAGGCTGGTCTCGAACTCTCAACAATCCTCCTGCCTCAGCCTCCCAAGTGCTAGGATTACAGTTGTGCGCCATCCCCGGCTAAACTGCCCCCCCCACTGGGAATCAAACTCACAACCTTGCGTTTGCCAGGCAGGCGCTGTGCCGCTGAGCTAAATCCCCAGCCCCTGTTTGTTTAATCTTTAGTCTTGAGATCTGCCCCGAAGCAAGTACCACCTCTCCATTGGTAAGGTATGTCTTCCATTCTGGCTCCTTTGAGGGCCTGGCCCTGTCTGACTGCCTATAATATTTCTATCTAACTTAGCTGCCTATAACAGTAGGGTAGCAAGAGTACATGGAAAGATCAAAGGGATTCTTGGCAAGAGGGGAACACAGGTCCAGATGTCTGGTCACCTCTGTGTCTGACACATATCTGGGTTTAGTTAGTGCTGATTACAGTGTAATCTCAAATTGTCCTTTATCTCCAGGGAGGCTTGCAGTCCTGGCTATTGCTTCTCCATCCTGAGGCCTGGCTCTTGTCAAATTGACCTCCAGCCACACAATTCTGAAGTCTATTTTTTGGTGCTGGTGTATATTAATTTCTTATAATTTAGCTGTCTATAATAGTTTCAACGAGTTTTCCAGGCTGGTCTGAACCTGTAATCTCCTGCCTCAACCTCCCAAAATTGGGATTACAGGTGTGCACCACTGTGCCTACCTTTCCCAATTAATTCTTAGCCTAGTTAAAACACACGCATAATTAATGAGTTATTTTATCTAGCAGAAATAAGGACGTGGGGTGTTCTTTTGGGCCAGTTTAACCCTAATTTTTTTCTGGTTGCTTTAAGGTTTTGTTTTTTTTTTTTTTTTTTGCCAACAACACTGGATATAGGTCAGGTTACTGTACTATTCCATTATACCTGTCACTTGAAGTCATGGATCCACTTATTGAAGCTTTCTTGGTTATAGTATATTTCTCACTTAAGTTTTTGTATTTTCTTAAACTATATTTTATTTGATGAACTGCATTCAGTTGACATTCGTGTTACACCTACTCTGTTCTTAGACGCTGGAGTCTTGGCAGCATTCTGGAAAGAAAGTAATTTACAAAAAGCTCCTGGACACAATAAGTGATCAATAACCTGAGGGTCTTAAGTGAGGGAGAAAACTTGCAGAACTCGCCCAATACACAAATATTTTTTTCTTTTTCCTTTTTTTTTTTTTTTCTTGTCTTTTTGGGACAGGGTCTCGCCATGCAGTTCAGGCTGGCTTTGAGCTTACTTTGTAGCCCAGGCTGGTCTCAAACTCGCAGCGATCCTCTTGCCTCAGCCTCCCGAGTGCCGGGATTACAGGCGTGTGCCACCATGTCCCGGTGCGGCTGCGCACGCCTGTAATCCCGGCACTCGGGAGACTGAGGGAGGAGGATCGCCACTAGTTGGAGGCCAATTTGGACTACATAGTGAGACCCTGTCTCAAAAAAAAAAAAAAAAAAAGGAAAGAAAGACGTAAGTGCAAGGGAACACCAGGCCCTGAAACCAAGGAGAAATCACAGCAAGAAAGCGGCTCGGAGGATTATTACGGTGCGTGCGATTACTATGAGAACTCGCTTATTCCACATCCTCCTGGAGACTTTGAGGGTGGAGCTCGCTCCACCCAACCACCTATGAGAGCCAATAACGGCCCGGGAGGGGTGCAGCGCGTGCGCAGAGTGTGTCAGCGCTGGACCGCCCCCTAGAGGAGTGGGCGGAGCTCCGGCACGCGTGCGCCCAGACTTTTTTTGCGCACGCGCTCTCCCAGGATGCCCTGGGCGCGCGGGCGGCGGGCGCCCAAGTCCGCTGGCGGAGGTGTCGGCTCCGGAGCTGAGCCTAGCGAGGCGGTCACCGCGGCTGAGGCTGCTGGACGTGGAGCAGGTGCGGCGAGGGCCCAGCTGTTGCAGACCCGTCCGCCATGAAGCCCCCAGCAGGTACCGGCCGCCCCTCGCTGAGGTCCGACTCCCGGGACCCCGGCGTTCCCTGCACCCGCGCGCCTTCGGGGTAGCGACTGGGGCCTAGAATCGGAGCCGAGCGACCCTGGGCCGGCTGGAGGGGAGGACGGGGGCCGCCCTTCCCCTTCGCCTGCCGAACGAGGAAACCAGCTTCTCCAGAGCTTCTCCACTGAGCAGACTTCGTGGATTTCACCCTCGGGCAGGTCGGGTCCTGGGGCGCTCTCGGGTGGACTTTCGGGGGGCAGAGATTTAAGAACCCGGCCCCCTCCCTTCCCGAGCTCTGGAGCCGGAGGCGGAGTTCAGCAAGTAAATAAAGGCGGACGCGGTGGCGCGCACCTGTAATCCTAGCACTCGGAGGCTGAGCCAGGAGGATTGTCAAGTTTGAGCCCAGGATGGGGCGACCTGGCGAGTCTCACAATAAGTATAAAAAGGGCTGGGGCTGTAGCTCAGTGCGAAAGCCCTGGGTTCCACCTCCAGTTCCAGAGGCAGAGGAAAGAAGTAAATGAACAAGTGAGGAGTTTAAATAGGGATTGGTGGCTTGGAGCAAATAAACACAGGTGGGACAACCTCAGGGACACTTCGTGAGAGCGCTGGTCCTGGAGGACTTCTCTGAGGAGGTGGCATTAAAGCCTAGATTTAGATGCCAGTATCTTTAGGTGCATGGCAGAAGGAGGGTCCCGCAGGGCAAAGGCAGGGAGCCGGGAACTCACTCGGGCATTGTGTTGGGAGAGTAAAGATCAGAGCATAGCAGGCTGGGGGCGCTAAGGGAGAGTAAAGCGGCGGTGTTGGAAGGGAATCGCCGCGCCCTGGGTCTGTGTTCAGAAGCTCAGGTTGATGCTTGGGCCCTCCTCGCTGGTGTTCTTGGGTTTCCTCACGCCCGCCTGTGCTCCCCCTAGTTCTCTTTTCAGCCAGTCACAATGAGGATGGTAATTGTAGTAATGATAATGGTAATAATTAGAGTTATTCAAGCTTCAGGGAGGTGGAACTGTTGTTTGCCTTGTTTGCTGCGGGATTGTTAGCTCAGAAATCAGCACAGGGGCGGCAGTCAGTAAATAATTTACAGGACCAGTGGATGTCCAAGAGGCCTAGCTCTTCCCAGAGAATTTTCTGACCATTCCACCTGCCATTGAGCTCTGTCTTTCCCACGTTGTGAAGCCCTTCTTGATCACAGGTTTTAATACAGATGTGTGGTTCCCTTCTGCACCCTTCAGCCTGGCGTGCCCTGTAGCTGGGTGTTTGCCTGAAGTTCTCAGCAGCGACACCTTGCCAGAAAGTCTGACTTATGTGGAACTTCTTTCTCCCACTTCGTGTGTCAGTAGCTCTCAACTGGGGTGAAAATGCTACACCTGCGGAGTCTACCTCTGGGAGTCTTGGCAGTGTGTGGGGACATCTGTGGTCGTCACGACTCGGGGATCTCCTAGCCTGGAGCTGGTGGTGACCAGGGTCGATGCTCACCATCTTGCATTGCCTAGAACACCCGACCCCTGGGAAGGATGTGGCCCGGTGTGTCCAACCCCTTACTCCACTGCAGAAAGAGTAATTCAATTCTATGGGGCTGCCATGACCTCTGTAGATGTTACATAATAAGCAACCTTGGTACTGTGTCACCTTTCTTTTTTTTGGTACGAGGAATCAAACTTAGGACCTTGCGCTTGCCAGCCAGGTACTTGTGCCCCTGAGCTACATCCCCCGCCCTGTGTTGCCTTTCTTAAATGTAAGGAATGTTGATTTTCAAGTCATCCCTGGCACATCTGGATGAGAGATTACAGTGTGTCACAATAGCTTCCCCTTGAGACCTGTTCTCTGCTTCCACCATGTGCCCTCTGACAGTTGTGCCCTCTTGCCCTCCATTGCCCCCACTTTCCAGGAGGGAATCCTGAGGTTTAGCAAATTGTGGTCTCACCAGGTCCGGCGGCCAGTGGGTGATAGAATGGGGCTCCCACTAGCCTCTGTCGCTTACTCTGCCTGTGTAAAAGGACACATCCAGTTGGTAACCCCCTTTCCAGGGCCTCTCCTGCCACTTGGGAGGAACGTTCAAACCCTTCCTCAAACCTCCACCGGGGCAGACACACTCCAGCCTTCTTTGTGTAGATTCAGGAGCTAGGAATGGATTCCGGATGGGACAGAAACTGGCCCACAGTTAAATTACTTGGCCCTCTCCAGAACAAGTCCGTGGCTCTGGGTCTGCATTGTACAGGTGCCACCAGGCCCTGCAGGGTCAGGGGTTGGCAGCTGATTTTCCTGGCTTCTCTGTGCCCAGCCTCGGCAGAGCCCCTCTTCTAGGCTTTATCCCAGGGCCCCCACCTGCAAGTCAAATGCACACACCTTTCTTGGGGGAGGGCTAATAACCTCCCACTGCACTGTAGGTTCTTATGCTCACTCCCCTTCCTGATTACCTGTTAACAATGAGGCCACGCCCCTTCTTGGTTCACTTGTTAATGAATGGGGCCCCTGGCTCCCCAGTTGGGTGTTAAGTGGCTTCTCCAGAGACCCCACCGAACCTGGGGAATTCTCTCTGACTTGTGGGAGTTGAGCGGTGCAGCAGTGGTAGAGCCTCCCCCTTTTTGTCAGTACTGGGGTCTTTGCAGGGTATGCCTGGGTAAGACTGCAGCTGGGTATCTCCAGGGCAGGGGCCTAACAGCAGCAGCTGGATGTCAGGGTCGGGTTATTTGTGCGGTGTCCTGGGTACTGTGGGTGGTGAGCAGTGTCCCTGGCCTCTACCCACTTCGTGCCACTGCACCCCTTCTCCAGTCGTGACAGCCACAGCTGTCCCCACACACTGCCCTGACTCCCTGGGAGTGGCTGAGGACAGAATTGTGCCTGCTCTGGAGAGTCCCTGGGCCCAGCGCTCCCCGGTCACATTGCCCTGTGCATGGACTGGATGAGATGCCATCAGCAGTGGCCTTTGGCTTCTGTGTGCAGCCTGTGCAGGGGACGTCCTGGACGCGGTGTCCCCGTGCTCCCCCACTGTGAACCACCTGAGGTGGGACCTGAGTGCACCGCAGATCGAGGCGCTCACCAAGGAGCTCATCGAGCAGACAAAGCGCGTGTACGACCAGGTGGGCGCGCAGGAGTTTGAGGACGTGTCCTACGAGAGCACACTCAAGGCCCTGGCGGACGTGGAGGTGACCTACACGGGTGAGTGCTGGCTGCGGGGTAGGTCGCAGGGACGTGGGGAGAAGCCAGTTCCATCACCCGGGCCACCCCGAGTGCTCCTGCATGGTCAATTGAGAGGGCAGCAGCTTGAAACCCAGCCACCTCCCCCTTCCAGCCACCTCCCCCTCCCAGAGGAGATGTGTTTTCTGTCTGAACCATGGAATGTGGCTCCTGTCTTTGTTTTCTGTTTTGTTTTTTTTCTTTGGTTTGGATTTTCTTTGGGATGAGCTCTCACTATGTTGCCCAGGTTGGGCTCCAACTCTGGGGCTCAAGCCATCCTCCTACCTCAGCTTCCCAAGCAGCTGGGATGTCAGGTGTGTACCACTGTGCCTGGCTTTTCAGTTGTTTTCAGTTGCTGTAACAGAATACCCGAGGCAGGATCATTCATTAAGAAAAGAGGTCTATTTTGGCTCACAGCCCTCCAGGCTGGGAAAACTACTGTGAGGGCTGCATCTGGTGAGGGGCACAGGCAGGGGCAGCGTAAGAGGGGGCCTTGTTTCCTAATGGATGCTCCTGAGAAGGCGGCTGAGAAGGCCAGGTCCCCTTTTTATAACCTGGTCACCTCTCAGAGCCTCTCCTGGCCCCTGTGGCCGCAGGCAGAACAGCATTAAAGCCCCAGTGACCTCCTTGCCAGTCCTTCTGGCTGCCTCCTTGGTCCCCACCCTACACTCATGTTACCTCGTGTCCCTAGGCCTCCCCATCCTGTCCCGGGGGCCAGTGAGGCTGCCCCCTCTCCTTGAGTCCTTCTGCCCTTGTGAGGACTGGGGTGCCTGGTCGCAGGGATGAGGGCTCTGTGCCCCGAGCCCCTGAGGAGGTTGGCGGCACAGCCTGCCCCTCGAGGTACCATGGGGGCTCCCTGACTCGGAGCTGAGAGGTGGATGGGAGCCCTAGGCAGGGATACGCAATCCCCCGGACGCGCTGTGGTGTCTCCTGGGGTCCAGGTGGCTCCACCCACTCTGCCCCTCCCTGACTGGGCCAGCTGTCCCTGTCTCCTGCCGCCTCTCCCGTGTCCACGCTCACCCGCAGCTCCTGAGGGCCTCCTCCCCGCAGGATGGGGACCAGAGCCGTCCTCACATTGCGCCTGGTGGACCAGGGTGCCTCACTGCAATTGCAGGAGGAGCTCACCTCCTCAGGGCCCCCTTCCTGTCCTCTCAGTGCACTCTGCACTGCCATCTTGTCACACTGAGCGTGTTTACAGTCACTCATATGACTGGTGGCCTTTCGAGAAGTCCCTCGAGGACAGAGCCCATTTCCGGTCCTCACCAGCCAGACCCTGAGCCCCAGACTGGTTAGTATAGGACACCATGCCCTCAAACATGGGCCACCAGGAACACCTACCCTGGCTCAGGCCCCTGGCAGCCAAGTCAGGTACCAAGCTGATCTGAATTCGAGTCTTTCCAGGGCAAAAAATGTGTGCTTTTTTTAATTTTTATTTTTTTTTTAATTTTTATTTATTTTGTCTTTTTGAAACAGGGTCTCGATATGCAGCTCAGGCTGGCCTTGAGCTCACTTTGTAGCCCAGGCTGATCTTGAACTCACAACGATCCTCCTGCCTCAGCCTCCCAAGTGCTGGGATTACAGGCGTGCACCACCACACCTGGCATATGTGCTTTTTTTTAAAAGATGAGATCTTGCTGTGCTGCCTCAAAGTCCTAGGCTCAAGTGACTCTCCTGCCTCAGCCTCCTAAGCTGGGAGCATAGATGGGAGTATAGATGCATGTTATCATGCCTTTTTCCTTTTAATTGTGCTATTAAAATATAATTTGCGTAGTACATAATTCACTCATTCAAGACCTGCATTTAAATGGTTTCTCACATATTCACAAAACTGATTATGTGTATACAATATATGTGTGTGTGTATGTATATATATAACGTGTATATATAATATATATATTTTGTTTGTTCTGGTTTCTTTTTTTGTTTTTTGAGGTAGGCTGGTCTCAAACTTGCCATGATCTTCCTGCCTCAGCTTCTCAAATGCTGGTATCACAGGCATGTGCCAGCAAGCCCGGCTATGCCTTCATTTTAGAACATTCCCATTCTCTCGGAAAGAAACTCCACATCCTGTAGCATCACTCCCCGTCCCCTCCCCACCCCAGCATTCCTGAGTCCGCTTCCTGTCTCTGGAGTCACCTGTCCTGGGCGTTTGTATGCATGAAGCTCACACTTCATGTCCTTCTGTGTCTGGCATCTCTCACTAAGCACGGTGTCCTCAAGGTCTGTCCATGCTGATGCAAATGTCACAGCCTCATTCCTTTCCTGGCTGGTGTCCTTGCATGGGGTCAGACCTTACCTTGTGTGTCCCTCTGTCTGTCCGTGGACACCGGCTGTCCAGTGCATGCAGGTCTTAGTCAGGCACGCTCTCTCATCCGTCCTGACTGCGCCTGCGGTCGGGCCCAGGTCTGCAGAACTCTCGTGGCTCTGGCCTGTGCGGCTGCCCAGCCTCTAACAGGAAGTCACAGCGTGGTCTGCGCCTCTGGCCTGCACCTGTCAGCAGCCACGGCTCTTTGGAGAATCAAGCTCACTAGCCGCTTGGCCCGGTGCTCCTTGGCTTGGGTGTCATGAGTCAAGTCTGTCTCCTTCGGACTGTGACATCCCCGAGGCCACTGTGTGTCCTTTGTCTCCTGTTTCAGTACAGAGGAACATCCTTGACTTCCCGCAGCATGTGTCCCCGTCCAAGGATATCCGCGTGGCCAGCACAGAGGCTGACAAAAAGCTCTCCGAGTTCGACGTGGAGATGAGCATGCGGCAGGACGTGTACCAGAGGATTGTCTGGCTGCAGGTAGGGATCGGGGACCTGGCCTCAGGCCTGGCACAGGCTCCGCAGCCAGGAGCTGGCACGGCAGGTGGTGATGGGCTCTGGAGCAGCCGCAGGTGGAAACCTCTTCATGACCGGAGAGCGCCGTCCCCTTGGTTTTCAAAAGCAGGACCGCCAGGCGTGGTGGCACGTGCCAGTAATCCTAGGTACTTGGGAGACTGAGGCAGGAAGAGCTCTAGTTCAAGGCCAGCCTGGGCGACTTCACAGGATCCTGTTTCAGAATAAAATTCAGAGGGGTAAGGTGTAGCTCAGTGGCAGTGTCCTGGGTTCAGCCCAGTCTTGCCCCTTACCCCCAACCCCAAAAAAGTAAACTTTACATGTTGTGTGTTTTATGACAGCCGTAAAAAGCAAAAACCAACAGAAAACAAAGCATCCGGCAGGAGGGGCCCTATAGCCTTTCACACAGGCTCTGCTACATATCCTGGCCACCGGGTGTTGCTTAGGGACAGCTGCCCACTCCTGTGTCACTGCAGGGGCCCAGGGTATGCACCGGGGCCCTGGGCGGGTTTCTTCCCATGAGGCAGTGGCCTGAGGCCTCTCCTGCGTCCAGAAGACTGTGGCGTGCTTTGGCACAGCGGGAGGTGTGCCGAAATCTAATCTAAAATCTAGCCCAAGCCGGTAGTGCGCTCACACACTGTTGTGAGAGCAGACACAGAAGCCAGCGGGGGCGCACCCCTATCCTCCCCGCACTGTGAGAGACTGAGGCAAGATGACTGCAAGTTCACTCCCAGCCTGGCAACTTAGTAAGACCCTCTCAAAATTTAAAAAGGGCTGGGGATGTGGCTCAGTGCGAGGCCCTGGGTTCCACCTTCAGTACCACTAATGAAAGAAAGTGCAAAACTAGACGGAGCACCCTGCACGCTCTGCTGGGCTCCCCCAGCAGTGACGCTGTACACAGCTGTCGCCCAGGCCCTGGCCGAGATGCGGTCTCCACCCCACTCGGTGCTCTGCTGCAGCCTGGGCTGCTCAGGCAGACAGGTCGTTGCTCCTGAGGGACGCAGGCGCGTGGGGCTGTGTGATCAGGCTTCTGGGACGCTGCGCAGCCGCCATGTGCACTGGCCGCACCGTGTCAGGAGGAGGGATGGGGTTTGGCTGCCCAGCGGCCCTGTGACCCTTGCCCTTTGCCCCTGCAGGAGAAGGTGCAGAAGGACTCCCTGAGGCCTGAGGCTGCGCGGTACCTGGAGCGGCTCATCAAGTTGGGCCGCAGGAACGGGCTCCACCTGCCCAAGGAGACTCAGGATGTGAGTGTGGGGCCCCCAACCTGTGCTCCGGCCCGAGAGGGTCAGGGCCGGTCCCAGGGCAGGACCACGCCTGCCAGGTGCTATGTGAGGCAGCCCTGGCTCCATCAGGGTTGGAGAGGGGCAGTGTGGGTGGGGGTGCTCGCCATGGTTTTTTGAGGAGCCCTGGCCCAGCTGGGCCCCAGGCTCAGGGTTGGCCTCGTGGGGAGCTCCAGGCACGGGACAGCCACTTGTGTGGCACCAGGCCCTGGAGTGCTCTGGGCAGGTGACAGTGCCCCAAGCAAGGGGCCTCTCGGGGGGAGCTGGGCAACCTGGAGGGTGCTGTGTTGGTCATTGGCGTTCGCCATCTGTGGGTACAGGTGTCCTGGGAGGGGCCGTCCCTGCAATGTCAGCTGGCCCCAGGCCGAGGCATCAGCACACGAGAAGTCACGGACCTGGCTAGGGTAGGAAGCAACCTGCACCAGAGCCAGGGGCCTTATCTACTGAGGGCACCATTGTGGCTGTGTAGGCGGGACCTAGAGAGAGGGGTGGTTTGTTCTTACAGCCAGTGCTGGATAGCAGGGTGCAGTGGTACACATCTATAGTTCTAGCACTTGGGAGGCTGAGGCAGGAGGATCCTAAGTCCCAATTCCCAGCCTGAGTAACTTAGGAGAACCCTGTCTCAAAGGGTTAGAGCAGCTGTGGAGAACCTTTTAGAACCTTTCAATGGTACAAACAGCCAGCTGTGGTGCAAGTGCTGTAGGGTCACCACCAGCGAGGTAGGGCTGTAGCACAGCAGTGAGTTAGTGTCAAGGGAAAAGAGTGCTGTTAAAAACAAGACCGAATCTCAAGGCTGAGGTGCCAGAGACGGCCACCCCCAGGCACCCCGGGTGCTTGGCTCCACCATGAGCCTCCATGACATGGCGAGGCCTTGGGCTGCTGCACGCCAGGTGGGAGCAGGAGACCAGCGAAGGTGCCCATCCCGACCCGAGCAGAGTGGGCAGGGACTCTAGAGCTGTTGCAGGCATCCGGGGGCCGTGCCAGGCCCCAGAGCACTCGGGGTGTGGCAGGTTTGCATGTGGGTCCTCAGTGAGAGGCGGACCTGCGGGGAATGTGGGGGCTCAGGCCTGCTGAGGACCGGATCCCCTGACCACTCTCCCGGTGCCTGTGCCACAGAGGCTGGGCTGCCAGATGGAGGCAGGCGGCCCCTACAGCCCCTCCGTCTCCCCACCTGCCTCCCTCCACACCCCTACCACACGGGTTCTGAGTGGAAGCCGGGCCCCGCTGCCGGCCTGGGCCGTGTCCCGTGTCACGCAGCCTTGGTAGCAGTCACTGGGGCGCGGCAGTCAGTTCCCTTGGCTCTGGTGCCCACTTTACTGGAGTGGATAGAAGATGCAGACTTGTCCTGGGTAAACTGCCGGCAGGCGCAGACCGTGGCTCTGAGGGTAGGGCCTGAGCAGGAGGCACACCGCAGGGCTCCTGGGGGCCCCGTGTGAGGCGCAGACACAGAGGTCCCAGCTTTGTGGGCTGTGTCCTTTCCATCCCCCCTCTTCCCACCCCAGCTCTCCTGCCCCTGCCGGGGTCTGGGAGGAGGCTGTCAGGTGCCAGGGCCCTCCCGCCCATGTCTGCCGTCTCCCGCAGAAAATCAAGAGCATCAAGAAGAAGCTGGGCCTGCTGTGCATCGACTTCAACAAGAACCTGAACGAGGACACCACCTTCCTGCCCTTCACGCGCGAGGAGCTGGGTACGCGGCTGGTGCTACCCGGGAGCCGGGGCTGGGGCCCTTCCTCCCAGGGCGCTGTGCACGGGGACCCCGATGCCCTTGCTGTCCTGGTGGCTCTCCCGTGCTCTCACTTTTGCCCCATTTCGCTCCCTGGCACCTCCTCACCGGGCCCGGGGTTCCTGTGCAGGTGCAGGGTGGGGGTCGCTTCCCTGTCCCCTCCAGAGCCACCTCCCGCCCTGCAGGGGGGCTCCCCGAGGACTTCGTGAACGCGCTGGAGAAGACAGAGGACGGCAAGCTGAAGGTCACGCTCAAGTACCCGCATTACTTCCCGCTCCTGAAGAAGTGCCATGTGCCGGAGACCAGGAGGAAGGTGGAGGCGGCCTTCAACTCCCGGTGCAAAGAGGTGACGCCGCTGCGGCAGCGCAGTCCCTGCCAGGCTCCGCGTGCCCTCGGAGAGGTGGCTGTGCGGGCGAGGCCAGCCTCAGCTCTCGCTGGAGGTGGCAGGTGACCTGTGGTGTGGCCACAACCTGGGCATGCGTCCCTGTGAGCGCTGAGCTGAGGCCGGGCCCAGGGGACTGTGTTGTCACTGCTGCCACACAGAGGGCTCTGCCGCAAGGACCCAGCTCTGCGTCTCACCTGCAGCTCCCCAGTCCCCTGGCTCGGGGGTGGTCAGAGTCACGTGGGTGCCACTGTGTGTCCCCCAAAGCCCACAGCCACCAGCTGTGCGAGCTTCGGACCTCGATCCCCTAAGAGCGTGCACTGGAAGTCGGCAGGGCTGGGCACAGGCCAGGCCCTGGGTGCTGTGGGGTCCCCAAGCACCACGATGCCCTCGCCCCCCAGCCCGCCTCGTTCCCCGTGTCATTTCCCGCTCGTGGCCCTTCCTGGTTCTGAAAAGGACCGGGGCTTGCGTATAGCCGTGGCAGGCAGGGTGGGCAGACTCTCAAGCCCAGGGGCGCGGGTGGCGGAGGGCGCGGCGCCGTTCCACAGCAGCTGTATCGCCTGCAGGAGAACTGCGCCATCCTCAAGGAGCTGGTGGCACTGCGGGCGCAGAAGTGCGGCCTGCTGGGCTTCAGCACCCATGCCGACTATGTCCTGGAGATGAACATGGCCAAGACCAGCCAGGCTGTGGCCACCTTCCTGGGTACCCACCACTGCTGGGTGCGCCTGGGCTGCTGGGGGGCGGGGCGGGGCTGGGCGGGGTGTGACTGCGCCCGCCCCCTGCAGATGAGCTGGCGCAGAAGCTGAAGCCCCTGGGTGAGCAGGAGCGCGCCGTGATTCTGGAGCTGAAGGAGGCGGAGTGCGCACGCCGGGGGCTGCCCTTTGATGGCCGCATCCACGCGTGGGACATGCGCTACTACATGAACCAGGTGGAGGAGACACGTTACCGCGTGGACCAGAACCTGCTCAAGGAGTACTTCCCCATGCAAGTGGTCACCCGCGGGCTGCTGGGCATCTACCAGGAGCTCCTGGGCCTCACCTTCCAGCTGGAGGAGGGGGCCGCCGTGTGGCACGAGGATGTGCGGCTCTACTCGGTGCGCGACACGGCCTCGGGCGAGCTCATTGGCCAGTTCTACCTGGACCTCTACCCCAGGTGGGCGCCCAGGGTCCTCGCGAGCCCCGCCTCCCTATTTGCAGGATGGGAAGGATGGGTGGCTTGCTGTTGAGGGGAGGGTCTTGGGGGGAGCACAGGGGACCTGCCGGCGGCACAGGCAGCACCGGAGCTCCCCACCCAGGAGCTCAGACCCTGCCGTGCATCTGGTGGGCTTGGCGCCATTGGGGACCCTCCCAGAGCCGGTGGACCCTGGCTGGGCTACCCGTATGGCAGCCCGGGCCATGCCTGACCTGCTCCCTCCCCAGGGAAGGCAAGTACGGCCACGCGGCCTGCTTCGGCCTGCAGCCCGGCTGCCTGCAACAGGACGGCAGCCGCCAGATCGCCGTGGCAGCCATGGTGGCCAACTTCACCAAGCCCACGCCGGACGCCCCGTCGCTCCTGCAGCACGACGAGGTGGAGACCTACTTCCATGAGTTCGGGCACGTGATGCACCAGCTCTGCTCGCAGGTACGCGGGCTCCCAGTCTTACCTCGGGTCCTGGAGGCTGAGGCCAGGTCAGGGTGCGGGCTCCTCTGCGTCACCTCCCTGCAGCTGTGTCGCCCTCTTCTCATGGGACCCCGGCGGGTCGGGGCCACCCAGGTGCCCTTACTGTACGGTTCCTCCTGTTGTTGGGTAGCTTGCTGCTACACAGTGGCTTGCCAGCGAAGTGTGACCGGGTTTGGGGTTCGCCTCTCCTTCCGGAGTTGGAGTCCAGATTCCTCTCAACTTGAACAAAGAATTGAATGAGACAAGCAAAAGCAGTGGCAGGGCCGGGGACATAGCTCAGCGGCACAGCGCTTGCTTGGCAAGTGTGAGGTCATGAGTTCGATTCCTGATACCCAGAAAAAAACAGTGGCAAAGTTTATTCGAGAAAATCTAAGTGAAGGGTGGGAGAGAGACTGGCTCTGCAGAGCGAGCCTGGGCCGGGTAAACAGAAAAAGTGGGAGAGCTCTTCATGCCCACTTCGCCTTTGTGCTGTCCAGATCTCGAGGAAACACAGGACTTGTACATGCAGGTCCTGAGGGGCTGTGCCGGGATCCACGCCTCAGGCTGATGTCAGGTCTGGGCCGCCCTGTTGGAAAGGGGCTTGAGTTTGAGAAAGTCCACGTGCAGGCTTTGGGAACTGTTTTGCCCACGTGTCCAGGATCTTTGTAATTAATAGTTCGTGCCCACTTCTCCAGCCAGCTTTTGCCGCGCCTGGGTCTCTCACCTCCTCTCCAAAGCCCTGTCTCCTGATGTGGTCACCGGCCGAGGTTGGGGATGGAGACCCGGCCGTATAGCCCTGGAGGCCTGGGGGACTTAATTCAGCCGCAGCCCTCCCCGCACCGTGGGTGGGCCAGGTGCGTTTGCCTCCGCTTGGCGCTTGGTGTGGAGCCCCAGCTCCTTGCTGGTTCCCGTTGCACAGCTCAGCCCGGCGATGTGAGGCTGCGGCCCCAGCTCATGCCACGCTGGCCCAGGAAACAGCGAGCCTAAGGAAGCTGAGATGCTGCCTTGCGCGAGGGATTTGCCCAGCGCTCCCCGAGCAGCCAGCACAGCTTCAGCCCTGGGGCACTGCGCCCTGGCTTGGGTCTGTCCCTGCACCCTGCCGCAGGGGGGCCCGCAGCCACCTCATCTTCTGGCAGCAAGAATGTTCTTCGAAGGCTGAGCAGGAGAGCATGGCGGCAGGGGCTGGTTGATTTCTAATAAGCACCTCACCAATTGTTGCGCTGTCACCACAGCCCTCTTTCAGAATGTTCCATCCCCCCAAAAGGAGGCCCCATCCATCTCCTTCCCAGCTTCTTACTCCTGATTCCACTTCCTGCCTCTGGAGTTGCTTGTCCTGGGCATTTCCTGCCCACGGAGCCCACTCTGTGTGTCCTCTTGTGTCTGGCATCTCCCATTGTCCTCAAGGTATTTGTGGCAAGTGTCACAGCCTGGCTCCTTTTCCTGGTTAAGTAATACTCCCCTACAGGAATGTACCTTTTTTTGTTTGTTTGTTTGTTTGTTTTGTTTTCCAGTACCGGGAATCAAACTCACGACCTCGCACTTGCCAGGCAGGCGCTGTGCCACTGAGCTAAATCCCCAGCCCCCAGAATGTACCTTTTTTAAAGGGATGTACTTTTTAGCAGTGTCTTGACAAGAACGAATTTTTAACTTGAAATTATATGCATAACTTATTTTTGGTGGTCCTACAGATGGAACCCAGGGCCGTGGAGGCCTTTTTTCTTTGTTTGATTTGAGGCAAGGTCTCACTGTGTAGCCCAGGCTGGCCTTGAACTCCTGGTGATCTTCCTGCCCCAGCGTCCCTAGTGCTGGGATTACAGGTGTGCGCCACCATGCCCTGCTCAGGAAGCCTTTTTAAATTTGGAGATAGTCTCTTCAGTTTGCCCTGGTGGATTTGATCTTCTAATCCTCCTGCGTAGCTGGAATGACAGGCATGTGCCACCACACCCAGCTTTGGTCCTTACGCTCTGCTCTTGTTTGGACTTTGTGCCGTGTGGAAGACACTGTCCCACCCACACCGGCTCATCTGTCCCTGTGTGGAGCAGGGTTCTCTAGGACAGCGGCGGCACAGAGGGGAGGAACTCAGGGGACTGCTGGCAGGTGTGTGCGGCCACTGTCCTCTGGTGTGTCCTGGCCTGGGACATTCTCAGGCTGCATAGGCCGAGGGGAGGGGCCTCAAGTGCACCTGCTGGCCCAGGTGTGTTTGTGAGGGGGCTGCAGGCCGCTGTGCCAGGCCGTGCTGAGTCTCCCGCCCTGGCCCGCAGGCTGAGTTCGCCATGTTCAGTGGGACCCACGTGGAGCGTGACTTCGTGGAAGCGCCATCACAGATGCTGGAGAACTGGGTGTGGGAGAAGGAGCCGCTGCTGCGCATGTCCCAGCACTACCGCTCAGGCTGCGCTGTGCCCCAGGAGCTGCTGGACAAGCTCATCCAGTCTCGCCAGGCCAACACTGGTGGGGACGGGCGCTGGGGGTGGGCTCGGGCCTGGGGCACTGAGCGTCCTCCAACCTGTGTTCCCGCCACCAGGGCTCTTCAACCTGCGCCAGATCGTGCTGGCCAAGGTGGACCAGGCCCTGCACACACGCGCGGCTGCCGACCCGGCCGAGGAGTACGCGCGGCTCTGCCAGGATGTCCTTGGGGTCCCTGCTACGCCAGGTAGCCACACTGCTGCCCCCAAGTCAGAGGGACCCAGCAGCATGGGAGGGGCGGCACGGTTCCTGGCCTCCCTCCCCTGTGTATTCTCAGAGACGGGCGTCAGCCCCATGGCCCGAGTGCCCTCCCTGTGGACGGGGCCGTGTCCCTGCGGAGAGCCTGGGAGGAGCCAGCAGAGGAGCAGGATGAGCATCTGCAGGCCCCGGAGAAGCAGGGGTGGTGGGAGGCCCATGGCACCTTCCTGTCCTGAGCAGGCGGCGCCCACCGCACATCCTTGGTGTGTGCGCGGCTGTGTGCTATGTGTGTATAGAGACGGTTCGTTTTTGGGTGGTATTTTGACTGTGTAATGCATTTAATTTTTCGAACTGCAGATCCAAGCCAGGGGCGCTGTACTGCTGAGCTGTACCCTTAGTCATCTTTACTTTACTTTGAGATGGGGTCTTGCTGAGTAGCCCATGCTGGCCTAGAATGCATGACCCTTCTGCCTCAGCTTCCTGAGTAGCCGGGATGTACCACAGAACCCAGCTACATTTTTCACGCAGTGTTTGAAGCAGCACACAGTGTTGCATCGCATGGGTGCACCTGGGAGGCCGCCTCCTCGTGGGCTGTGTGTGGTTGGGGTCCACGTGACCCTTGAGCTCACCCATTCCAAGGCTCACCTGTCCCTGTCCATCCAGGGACCAACATGCCAGCCACCTTCGGCCACCTGGCAGGCGGCTATGACGCCCAGTACTACGGCTACCTGTGGAGCGAGGTGTTCTCCATGGACATGTTCCACACGCGCTTCAAGCAGGAGGGTGTACTGAGCCCCAAGGTGAGGGCTGGGCTGGGGCCGGGTGGAGCGGGGCAGAGAGCAGCCCAGGACCCCAGGCAGCTGGAGCTTGGCCTGCACCAGCCCTGCTCGGGAGAGCACTGGTCCCGCGGCAGTGAGCATCCACAGACCAGCGCCCCAGCCGCGGGCCGGGAAGGGGTCACGCCCAGACCAGTCATGGGAGGTGGGCAGACCCTGGGCCCTCCAGCCCACACCCAGCCCTTGCCTTGTACCCTGCAGGTGGGCATGGACTACAGGACCACTATCCTGAGGCCGGGTGGTTCTGAGGACGCCAGCGCCATGCTGAAGCTCTTCCTGGGCCGTGAACCCAGGCAGGACGCCTTCCTCCTGAGCAAGGGGCTGCAGGTGGAGGCCAGCGACTCGGCCGCCTGCTGACGCTGGAGCCACGGCCCCGTGCCCGCCCTCGCCCTGTGCCTTAGCCCCAGCCCGACGGTGGCTGACGGCATGGCGCTTCGGGCCAAGAGTGAGCGCCAGGAACTCTTCGTCTCTGTCACTGTCCCTCCAGCTCTGGTCCACGGGGCCAGCTGGGGCCAGCTGGGTGGAGAGAACTTGCCCCGAGGGCCTGTTTCCTTTGCACTAGCCTCCCTCTGGGCGGCACCTGTTGTACGAGGTGGTTCTGCAAGACACGGCCAGTAAACACTTGAAACAGCTCCGGGCTGGTCATTGACTCTGTCCCCTCAGCACAGGGCAGCTGGGCTCATCCTGGGCTGTCCTGCATTTGCCACGGGGCAGTGATTCCTGAGTGCTCGGGATTGACATGTGTGGGTCCCTGGGCATAGCTGCGCTCTAGGACCGGTCAGACCAGGGCTGGGACGCTGGGAAGGGCCCAGTTCTGTCTGAGGGGCCGGATAGCAGGACTGCCTGCTCGGGCTGTGCTTCCTCTCTGCGTGATACCCTGCATCGCTCAGGAAGGTCTCCGCATCCACATTCAGCCCGGTCCCACTGTGGACCACACAGCTCTTCCAAGGGTGCTGGGGCCTCCTGGGACATGGCAGCCCCTCAGCCTCACAGCCAGCAGGTGCCTCAGGTGCCTGCAGGACCGAGCTCCTCCCAGCACCCACAGGGGTTGATCAGAGCTGTTATGTGAGCGACGAGACCCATCAGCAGCTGGGTTCCAGGGGGGTCAGAAACAGCAAAGCCTTGATCGTGGTGGGTGGGCAGTATCTTGGATTCGCTGGTATTTTTAAAAAATACCTGTGCAGCTTTCTTTGCCCCGTAGTACTAAGGCCTGAACACAGCACCTCCATGCTGCATCTCATCTCGGCCCTTTTTACTTCTGAGACAGGGTCTCATTGAGCGCCGAGTGCCCCAGGTTGGCCTCCCAGGGGGCTGAGATGCCACGTGTGCGCCCCTCACCTGGCTCTCAGTGGCATTTTAGGGTTGGGAAAACGTCGTAGCCAGGTGTGGGTGCCTTCCTTCCTGGGTTCCGGGTCAGCAAGACCCTTTCCCAAGGAAGGGCAACACTGGCCGGCAGACACCTCCATGTGGACAGCATTTCTGGGGCTGTGTTGGGCACTGTCACCAGGCCAGACCAGGCTGCTGCGGACTCCGGTTCCTGGGATCCTCCTCACACTGATCCCGTTCGGTGACATTAGAGCCCTGATTGGGGGGGGGGGGGCTTTTCGTAGCTGAGCTGGCTGTCGTGCGGGTGGCTGAAGCTGTCAGGCTTGTAGCAGCTGTCACAGCTTAAAGTACCTGGCGCTCAAAAGAAAAAGAGACCACACCAAGCTGGGCGTGGTGGCACACACCTGAGACTCCAGTGCCTGGGAGGCTGAGGCAGGAAAATCAAAAGTCCCAGCCCAAACGCAGCAACTTAGTGAGATCTTGCCCAAAAATTAGAATACAAAGGCACTGGGGGTGCAGCTCAGTACCAAGGCTGTCAGTTCAATCCCCGGTACTGTCCGAACGGAAACACCACCTGAGGGCGGCCGGCCGGGCCCCTCCCAGTAGACAGGTTGAGTGTAGCTGGCTAAAAGCTCAGGAATCTCTCCTCCCTCTTCTTACTTTGCTTTTCCTTTCTGCTCAGCTCCAGTCACTCTGGAACCCACTCGGCATTTCCCCGCCCACCGTACCCTCGCAGGATTCACGGGGCCGGTGCTTGCAATACTGGCTGGGTCCAGCAGGTGGCAGGACCTGGCCGCATCCCGGCCTCAATCTCCAATCAGAGTAGTGCTGTTCCCCCAGCGTCCGTTCTCCTCTCTTCCTGCTTCCTACCCATCAGGCCGAAAGCTCTTGTTTATTCCTACCTCAGACAAATCCTTTCCATGGCATGGGACATGCCCGTGGGTGCTTTTTTTTCCTTTTGCAGTACTGGGGATAGAATCCAGGGCCTTCACATTCCAGCCCTTTTTTATTACTTATTTTGAGACAGGGTCTTATTAAATGGCTGTTGCCCAGGCTAGGTTGGAACTTGTGATCCTTCTGCCTCAGCCCCATAGAGTGCTGGCACGACAGCCTGCACCACCACACCCTGCTAGTGTTCGCTTATTTTGTCAAGAGTAGAGGGCAAGTTCTTCCTAGAGCTGGGTCCTCTTCCAGACACACTCAGGACTGTCTCAGTTTGCTTTTTTGAGGGAACAGGCGGGTACTGGGAATCGAACTTAGGATCTCACGCTTGCCAGGCAGCTGCTGCACCACTAAGCTAAATCCCCTGCCCCTCCCTCAGTTTTTATTTTTATTTTTCACTTATTTTTTGTCTTTGAGACAGGGTCTTTCTATGCAATTAAGGCTGGCCTTGAGTTCACTATGTAGCCAGGCTGGCCCCAGACTCGCAACGATCCTCCTGCCTCAGCCTCCCGAGTGCTGGGATTACAGGAGTGCACCACCAGGCCCGGCTCCCTCAGTTTTTAACTGTTTTACCAAAATGCCGCTACCTCAGACCTTGGCCGCCTTCCTGAAACTACACACACCACGTACACCACTCTTGCCTACACCTTGCTTCTCGGTACTTTAGGCCACCATCCAATAAGTGTTCTACTTAAGATAGTATTTGCCTCCCACCCCCACCCCCCGCAGTGTTGATGGAACCCAGGGTCCGGAGCATGCTAGGCAAGTGCTCACCACTGAGCTACACCTCTGCCTCTGTCTTATTTTCTGCTTCCCTCAGACAATTTAATGTTTTTGCAACCCACTGTGCATGTATAATTATGTCAGCATTAAACTTGAAAAAAAATTACAGCCAGTGGTGGCACACGCCTGTAATCCCAGCACTGTGGGAGGCTGAGGCAGAAGGATGGCAAAATTTGAGTCCAGTCTGGGCACCTGAGCGACTCAATGAGGCACTTTCTCAAAATAAAAAATAAGGACTGAGGATGTAACTTAGTGCTTGTGTTCAATGACCAGTACCGGAAAAGCAAAAGTAAAAGTGCCTGGCTGGTCCTCAGCACCCTTCCACTATTCATTAAATGGAAGAACGATGAAATAACGGGTCATTTCCTGTTTTAAATCCCTGCTTACCGAGCTCTGGCCACGGCCCTCAAACTCATTGGCCACGCCCAGATACTTAGCCACGCTCCCTGAATACTGCGCATGCCAAGACCCAAGCTTGGTTTAAGCGGCATAAACCATTTTCACTGATCGTTTCGAATGGGGACGCCGGTGGAACTTTTCTTCTGATGGAAAAGCTGAAGTTGACCTTTCTCTTCTCTAAAGAGTGTCTCTGGACATGTGCTTATGTGTGGATTTCAGCCTATGTCTTTGGTCTTGACTGAGGCTTCGGGGCATTCCCACCGCCGCGGGCGCCTTGACTGGATCCCCCCGCGGCAGCATTGGTGCTGTCTGGCCTGGTCACATGGGAGGCAAGATGGCGGCCTCCAGGGCGCGCTGCGAGCGTCGCGGCTGGTGAAACGCAGGCGGCGGTGCCGGGAAGGTAGGTTGGGCGTCTCGGGGGCTCCGCAGGGCGTTCCGGCGGCGGAGGGCACGGTGCGGTGCCGGGTTCTAGCGGGCGGGCGTAGAGAGGGCGCCCCCCAGGGGCATCCGGTTTCCAGATTCGTTGGCCAGGCGTTGCAGAGGTCCCGAGTCCCTGCGTTCTCTTCCCCCGAGCCGTGGGGGTCTCTTAGCTCCAGGGATCCGTGGGGAGCCGGATAAGAGGTTCCCTGTTCGGTGGCCTCCTCGTCAGCGTTGGAGAACCTTGTGAGGGACCCAGGGAATAGGGGCTCTATGGAGAAGAATCTTGAGGCGTCTCGTTCCCGGAAGGGTGTCTTAGGGGGTCCCAAAGAGCCAGTCGTCCCCGGGCCATCCTGAGCGCCCCTCGCCGCACACAGACCTTGAGCATCCCGTTTCAGAGGGGTCCCTTGCGACCAGCCGGAGCCTAGTTTGAGGACATCTTTGTGTTGGAGATGCTTGATGTAAGTGGTGTGTAAGAGCGGGAGAGGTTTGCAGGGTCTTTTATCCATCTGCACCTACTTCATTTCATTTTTTTCTAGTACTGAGGATTGAATTCAAGGCCTTTGACCTGAGCTGCATCCCAGGCCCTTTTTATCTGAGAGAAGATCACGCTAAATTTCTGGGTTGCCTGGATTGACCTCAAACTTGGGATCCTCCTGCCTCAGCCTCACACAGTGCTGGGATAACCAGTGTGTGCCGCCTCGGCCAGTTCTCTAAGATGTCTTGAGAGAGGCCCGGCACAGACTGCAAGCTAGGCCTCCCAGGCCCTGCCTGCCCTGAGTCAAGTGGATGCCCAACCGGTAGAACAAGGGCACAGGTCCCAGTGTTCCTAGAGTCCCACCAGCTCACACACTCCTGCCTGCTCTGATCTCTGCTGATCCTTCCGAGGTGTGAAGTGTGACCCGCCTATGTCGGCCACCAGAGGCGGCGACAGTCATTAAACCAGGGAGCCATCACCTGCGGCTGGAAACAAGCCGGCTGAGGTGCGCCGCCTTTGAGAAGCACGTGCCAGGTTCTCAGCTGCTCTGGAGGCCAGATGGGGGTCCTTTCTCGTAGTAGGCCTGTGTCGGTTCATCTCGCTTCATCCAGGCAACAAATCACTTGTGGTTTCGGGTTGTGCTCTGGATCCCTGATTCCCCGCACCCTTGCTAATAAGCAAGCCTGCCTCAGTTTCCTCACCTGTAAAACAGGCACAGTCCAAATTCCATCCCGTGAGGTGCCTGGGACATAGCAAATGACACGTAGAAGTCAGGTGCTGTGGAGTTTTTGTTCTTGTTGAGGACATACTGTGTGTGCGTGTTTGTGCTGAGTGCTGGGGACGCAGTGGTGGCCCGTAATAATCTCAGTCTCCACCTTCACAGTTCTGTTCTCTTGAGGGGAAAGATGAACCTTAAGTAGCTGGGCCGGTAGTGCACATCCATCATCCCGCCCTGGGAGGCTGAGGGAGGAGGATTGCAAGTTCAAGCCAAGCCTGGGTACCTTCTGGGCTACGCAAGACTCTAGCTCAGCATTTTAAAAAATATTTTTAAAAGGGCTGAGGATGTAGCTCAGTGTGAACTCCCTGTGTTCCATCCCCAGAACCACACACAGAAATAATTTTTTTTAAAAAAACAGTCATAAGTAAGCCAATAAATGCCCATATGCTGTCTGGGGATGGTTAATACTTTGAAGAAAAATTGTGATCAGAGATGGTTTCTCTAGGAGGTGGCATTTGAGAGCCAGGGAAGTGAGAGCTCCAGCCGTAGGGCACTTTGATTTGCTTTTGTTGTTCTTTTGACACGGAACCTGGCTGTTTCCTTCAGGCTGACCTTGAACTCACTATGTAGCCCAAGCTGAACTCGGAGCTATCAACCTGCCTCAGCCTTGTGCGTGCTAGGACGACAGGTGTGTGCCACCATGCCTTGCTCATAAGTGCATTTTAGGAGGACTGTTTGTCATGTCAAGAATACACTGCGCAAAGGCCCTGGGGCAGGACCTTTGGGACTGTCCAGGAGCTTGAAGCAGTGAGGAGCCATAAGAGCGTTTTAAGCTGGGCAGTGCCATGGTCCAGCTTGCACTCAGAGAGTCCGGGACAGGTCATCATTGAAGCTCTGTACACATTGCTTCATACTCAGTAGCTTTAAACATTGCCGCGCACCGCCCCCCAGACTGCTTTGACTGTGTGTGGGGAAGACAGGTGAGGGCCGCGTCCCACCTTTCATGGAGCTGCTGACAGGAGGGCTCAGCTCCTGGCCGCAAGCTCCGTCATATCTCTAGTGTTCTCGTCACACAGGTTGGTCCTGTCTGGAGTGGGAGGGCACAGTTAGTACCAAGGCACGAGTACCTGGAGGTGGCTAACTGGGGACATCTTGGGAATCAGCCACCATGATCCCAGGGCTGCCGTGAGGAGAACAGCGGAGGTCATGGATGACAGGACAGAGATTCAGACGGAGGCCCAGAGCAGGCAGGCAGCTTGTGGAAAGCTGCACAGCAGGTGGGCAAGTCAGAGCTGGACTGTCAACCCAGATGCAGGCCTAGATCCTGTGAATAATCAGAGAGGGCGAAGGAGGTCTCTAGCCCCGCTTCACTTTGCATTTTTAAATCTTTTACGTTTTTGCCGCACTGGGGGTACAACCCGAGGCCTTCACCCTGAGCTGCATTCCCAGCCCCGTTTAAAAATTTTCCCAGCCCCAGCTTGTCATTTTAGCGCTGTACGTTCTTGTGCTGCAGGCTCTCCAGGTTTAGCTGCGGAGCACCCAGACTGTGAACACGCGGGCACCATGGTGACCGAGCGGGAGGTGGAGGCCATCGGGCAGACGCTGGTGGACTCCGGGCAGCCCCTGCAGGCCCGCTTCCGGGCCCTCTTCACGCTGCGTGGGCTCGGTGGGCCCGACGCCATCGCCTGGATCAGCCGGGCCTTTGGGGACGACTCAGCCCTGCTGAAGCACGAGCTGGCTTACTGCCTGGGCCAGATGCAGGACCCCCGCGCCATCCCTGTGCTGGTGGACGTGCTGCGGGACACGCGCCAGGAGCCCATGGTGCGCCATGAGGCAGGTGAGTGCCCAGGCCTTGCGCCTGCCCACTGGTGTCCTGGATACCCCGCCCACAGCCCCTGAAGGTGATAGTCCTCAGGGGCAGCCGGCTCACTCTCCTGTAAAGAATAGAATAGTGAAGACTTTCAGCTCTGTTTTACAGGCAGCATCTGCTGCAGGGACTCTTAAACGTCACTGTCAGTGGCACTTATCCGTCATCCCAGCTACCATGGGAGGCTGAGGCAGGAAGATTGCGGGTTTGAGCCCAGCCTGAACAACTTAGCAAGACCCTGCCTCACATAGCCCAGGCCACAGGGCCTTGGCACGTACCACTCCTCTTGCTTTTTTTTTTTTTTTTTTCCTGCTCTTGCTTAAGGTTGCCTTGATCTGCTGACTCCCCTCCCTCATATCCCAGCTTAAAATCTGCAGTGAGGGCTCCATGAGGGAGTAGAGCTCTTTGTTCCCTGTGGCACTAGGTATAGTGACACCGGCTCTGTCCAAGGGGTACTGTTTGGGGTGAGCTGTTTTGCTGGTCACTGCAAACTTGGAAAGTTCCTGGTCAAGTCCAGGTTCTACAGAAAGATTCAGATTGGTCCACTTTGCAGTCTGTATGTGTTGTTGCTCCAATCAGCCTTGGCCAGGGATGGGGTGACAGCTGATGAATGGCTCCCATGAGGTAGTGGGCGTTCCCCACTCATCTAGCCGGAGCTCTGGTTTGCTCTTTTCAGGGGAGGCCCTCGGCGCTATCGGGAACCCAGAAGTTCTGGAGCTCCTGAAGCAGTACTCTGCTGACCCCGTGGTTGAGGTAAGGAGGTCCTTAGCATTCATCTCTGGTTGCCAGGGCAACCACTTACCCCAGGCTGTTCCAATGTTAAGGAAGGAGGGAGCAAGTGGGGGAGTGCATCTCCTCGCACTCTATCCTGGCCCTCCCTCTGCTGTCCCTCCTCAGCCACTGGGCCCCTTTAGAGGTCTCTCTCCTGCCTCAACAATTCTCATTTTTTCTTCTTTTTGGTGGATTGAACCCAGGACATTTACACTGAGCTGCTGCATCCCTAGCCCTTTATTATTTTTTTAGACAAATCCATACCAAGTTGCCCAGGCTGGGCTCAAACTTTCAATCCTCATGCCTCAGCCTTTCAGAGTGTAGGGATGACAGGCATGCGCCATCATATCTGGTCCAGCTCATTAAGTCAGCCTTTAGTTTTTGTTTTGTTTTGTTTTGTTTTGTTTTGTTTTTGTTTTTGTCTTTTTGAGACCGGGTGTCGCTATGCAGTTCGGCTGGCCTTGAGCGCACTCTGTAGCCCAGGCTGGTCTCGAACTCCCAACGATCCTCCTGCCTCAGCCTCCCAAGTGCTGGGATTACAGGCATGCACCACCACGCCCGGCTTAAGTCAGCCTTTGAAAGTACACCCATAGGGGCTGGGGATTTAGCTCAGCGGCAAAAGCGCCTGCCTCGCAAGCGCAAGGTCGTGAGTTCGGTTCCCGGTACCGGAGAAAAACCAAGGAAAAAAAAAAAAAAAAAAGAAAGTACATCTATAAGTGGATTTTAATGCACTCCAGATTGTGCAGGCATCAATGCCAGCTATCTCATCACTTCAAAAAGAAGCCCCGGGGCCAGGGATGTAGCTCAGTGGCACAAGCCCCTCCCTGGCAAGCGCAAAATCCTGAGTTCAATCCCCAGTCTCCCCCCCCAAAAAAAAGACGAAAAGAAGCCCCAGCCCCGGGCACCCACGGTCCACTTCCTGCCTCTTGTTGCCTGTCCTGGGCGTTTCCTGTTGATGGAGCCCACGCTGTGTGTCCTTCTGTGTCCGACGTCTCTCCCTGAATACAGCATCCTCAAGGTCCATCCACACTGGCAAGGGTCACAGCCTCGCTCCTTTTCCTGGCCAAGTAGTATTCCAGCACGTAGGTGGAATGTTCTGTGTATCCATTCTTCCATCTGTGGACACTTTTCCTGTCTCCACTTTGGGCCATTGTGAATGGTATTGCTATGGAGGGTCTGTGTGAAGCTGAGGCCCCTGGATCGGTTCCCTGCTCAAAGCCCTGGTGGCCTTTCATCCCCTGGGACTGAATCCATATCCCAGCACAGCCTGGCCACGCCCCCTCCTCTGGCCGATCAGCCTAACTCCCTTGTGCCCTGCCCTGCAGGTGGCAGAGACCTGCCAGCTAGCCGTGCAGCGGCTGGAGTGGCTACAGCAGCACCCTGGGGAGCTGGCGGCCTCGGGTCCCTACCTCTCGGTAGACCCTGCGCCTCCAGCCGAGGAGGGCGACGTGGGGCGGCTGCGGGAGGTGCTGCTGGACGAGGCCCGGCCTCTCTTCGACCGGTACCGCGCCATGTTCGCGCTGCGCAACGCAGGTGGAGAGGAGGCCGCCCTGGCGCTGGCCGAGGGTGAGGAAGGGCCCTGGGGGGTGCCAAGGCCCAGTGGTGGGCGCCACTTCCCCCCTCCTCCTGCCCCTGCCCCAGCTTCCCTTGTCCCCTGGGCCCGGCCCCTGCCCGCCCGCCTGACGCGCTCTCTCCCCGCAGGCCTGCGCTGCGGCAGCGCGCTGTTCCGCCACGAGGTGGGCTACGTGCTGGGCCAGCTGCAGCACGAGGCCGCGGTGCCACAGCTGGCCGCCGCCCTGGCCCAGCGCGCCGAGAGCCCCATGGTGCGGCACGAATGTGCCGAGGCCCTGGGCGCCATCGCCCGGCCCGCCTGCCTGGCTGCGCTGCGGGCGCACGCCGCCGACCCCGAGCGCGTGGTGCGCGAGAGCTGCGAGGTGGCGCTGGACATGTACGAGTACGAGCGCGGGCCGGCCTTCCAGTACGCGGATGGGCTGGAGCGGCTGCGGCCCCCGCCCTAGGCCTGCCGCCGGGCTCCTCAGGGCTGCCTCCCCCCGGGACTTCGGCACTAAACTGGGTCAGCGTTAAGTGGATGTCGTCTCCAGCCCTGCGCGTGGGCGTGGACCTTGCCGGGCGGGCGGGCCGAGGTGGGTGCCCTGCCTGCAGACCCTGCGCGGCCTGGGATCTTGCGTCCTGAACGCCGGAGTGGGCCGGAGGCTCCCCAGGGCCTAGCATGCAGCAGGCAGACCTGGAGGGGTTTGGGGTGCGCAGTCCGGGACGGGGCGTTCTGGGGGTGAGGATGTTGGGGGACCCCAGGGGCAGGAGCGGGGCACTTGGGAAGTATTGGGGTGACAGTGGCTCAGCTTCCACCAGGAACAGGGAACAGGGTTTGGAGGTCCCTTATCCCCTTCACCCTTTGGGGCCCAAGCAGGACGGGGAGGTGGCCTCCGGGTGGGCTGGGCTAGGGGCTCTTGCGGGTCCCAGGGCACTACCCAGATGGAATATTAAATTATTTTTGCTGAGCAATGACTCCTGTGAGTGTGGGGGTTTGGGGCTGCCCGCCAGGACCTTTGATACACCTGTCTAGCAGGGCATTTGGAGCCACAGATGGGCCCCACCAGCTTAGGGCACAATCTGCCAAGATAGCCCCATAAGGGGGCCCTGGGGGAGCAGCGCACCAGCCCAGGTCTCCAGGCCCTCGTCCCCCAGATCTGATGGGGGCCCAGGGGAAGGGGTTTTATGTCATCCAAGAGCAAGGCTTGTCATCTGGGTTCCCGCGGTTCCTCCATGCGCGGCTGGGGGCAGCCGTGCACATCTGGCAGGCATCCTGCAATGCCCAGACCCCTACAGTAGCATGAGGCGGCCCAGATGTTGAGAACCTCCCAGGGAGAGATTGTGTATGGCCCCAGACCCAGAGGAAAGCTGCCAGGTTCAGAATCACACCTGCCCACGTCTGTCGCGTTCCCGTGCACGTGTCCAGTTGCTCTCAGCCTTCCCATTGGGCGCTGGTCTTGTCCATCTGACACCTGTTAGCCAATGAACGGGGTGGGCGTGACCAGCAGCCCTACCTAGAAAGTAGGCGGCTTTCCACCTGCAGCGTCTCCGCCGTGTGGGTCCTGGATACCTTGCTGAAAAGTTCGGTGCGGCTCTCGGCTCAGTTACAACTAGAACATGCAGTGCACACTAGCACGGTCACACCCCAGGTTGTGCCTCCTAGGCCTGCTCAGTCACTGGTCCCCTCACGCCACAGCCTGACCTCCCCGCGGTACCCACCAGAGGGCGCCCGTGAGACTGCTCCCTGCAGCCTCTGGGCCCTGCACGGCTGCCCCGCCCCATCCCCTCCCTTCCCGCAGCTCTCCCTCTGCTCCAGCCACAGGTCTCCTCGCTGCCTCTGTACTGTGCCAGGTTCCCTGCTGCCCCGGGGCCTCTGCACGGCCGCGTCCTCCCCCTAACTGCTTCACCCCGCTCCTTCCATGGCTCGCTTCCTTCCTCCTTGAGCCTCTGCTCAAATATCACCTTAGCAAGGACTTGGCCGACCTTCTTGGACTCTAGTTCCTCCCCACCGCCCATTCAGCACTTTCTAACTAACAGGTCACTCTTAAGGTTCCATTTTTTCCTGTGATCCATCTCCCTGCCACAACGCCAGCTGCATATGGGCAAGGGACTCAGGTCAGATGTGATCACCACTGGAAAGAGGTGCACAGAGGCAGTCTGCGTTTATTGCATACTAAGTGCAGGAATGAATAGAAGGAGCCAACTATGGGGCAGTCTGGCAGTATCAGGAGCAGCCACAGCAAGTGCAAAGGCCCTGCGGTTAGATGTATGCGCAGTCACAGCTGGAGCCAAGCCAGGGAGGAGGCAGTGGGCGGAAGTGATTTGCACCATGATTAATCTAGGCAGATGGTGTGGGGGGGGACTGCCTCAATCCTCTTAGTTCAAAGCCCCTAATACTTCCGCTGCATGGGTCACCTCCGGCCCTCTGCTCAAGGCGGCCGCCATGCCAGGGCTGATGGGTGAGGAGGCCGAGGGCTGGAGCCCGGGCCCACCCATGTATGAGGAGTACCAGCCACCGCCGCTGGACGCCATTCGCCTGCCCCGGTACGTGCTCTACCTGCTGATGGCCACGTTTGTGGTGGTGGCAGTGGCCTATGCCATCGTGGGACACCTCATCAAAGACCTCGCCCACGACCTGGCCGGTGAGTGCTGCCCTCCACACGTGGCCGGGGAAGGGATTCCAGGGGCCTCTTCTGGACAGGGAGGGGTGGGGACCCGGGGGCAGCAAAGGGTGAGGGACCCTCACAGCTGTCCCTGCTGCAGACTGGGCTTTTGGCCCGAAGCTGGACCAAGAGGACACCCCGCGGGAGCTGCGTGCCAGCCTGGCCGGCGAGGACCTGGAGGAGCTGGACCTGCAGCTGGCCCTGGCCTGGCGGGGCGATGAGGACACCGGCGGGGGTGGTGAGGGGGCCCCCTTGGAAGCCCCCATCCAGGACCCCCGCCGCCCCTCCATCACCTTCAGGGACCCTCCGGTCCAGAGCTCCTGGAGGCTGGGCTAAGCTGGGCTCGGGCTGTGTAGACAAACTCTTACGTCTCCGGCCTCTTCTGCAGAGAGACGAGCATGCCACTCTCCCAGCCCCAGCCGCGCTGTGGGCGGTCTGTAAAGAGACACTAAGACATCTTTAAAAATTAGGTCATCCACCTTCTTTTTTCTTTGTGGCACCGGGGATTGATCCCAGGGCCTTTACAGTGAGCTCTGTCCCCAGCCCTTATTTTGAGATGAAGTCTCACTAAATCACCAAGTTCCAGGGTGGGCTGGAACTAAAGATCCTCCTGCCTCAGCCTCCCAGAGTGCTGGGATGACAGGTGTGCGCCACCACGCCCAGCTCCAAGCTTTTCCTAGTCCCTGCTCCCGCGCTAAGTAAGCCCACGTTGTGTGTGATCTCACTGAGTCCTCCCACGTAGGACTTACCTCCCCACCTGACAGCTGGGGATACTGAGGCACGCCACAGTGAAACGACTCCAAGTAGAGGGGACTGTTGCAGAGAGAGCCAGGCTGAGTGACTGACCTCGGAGGGCAGAAGCTGCCAAGCAGGGTCCTACCTCCCCTGTCCCCGTGTCTTCTCCACCCCCACCCAGGCTGTGGGTGGCGACCCTGATGTCCCTGGAGCACCCCCGTTCAAGGTGCCCTTCCTTTTGGCGCTTTGCACAGGGTGGGCCATACTGTAAGAGCTTAACAAATGTCTGCCTGGCTGAGGTTGGCACGTGCTTTGTCCCAGCTCTGCCGCGTCCTCCGCCTGCTCCGTGGGGACCTCAGACCTCTGCGAGGGAGGAGCCTGGGTATGCAGCAGGTGCTCCCTAAAGACTTGTGCGAGGGCCTCGGGCTCCCTTTCACGTGTCCGGGCAGCCAGGGTGGGGCCCCCCTTTCCCTGGGAAGGACTCACTAATCAAGCCAGGGACCAAGGCTGAGGAGGGAACCGGAGCCTGAGTCATCTCTGCGCAGTGCTGTCTCCAATTCTGCAGCCACACAAGTGTGTCCAGGGCTGGGCGTGGTGCGTGGCCTGCGGCCCTGTGCTGTCGGGTCCCCAAGGCCGGGAACAGTTGTAGAAGCACGACGCGGCTTCATATCCCAGCTCTGATGGGCGGTGCCTGCCGGGGCTCCCCTGGCTCTCTGAAACAAGGCTGGCCAAATGTTGGGGGAGAGCAGCTGGGCTCTGTGGCCTATACCTGTGATGCCGCAATTTGGGAGGCTGAGGCAGGAGGATCTCAAATTCCAGCCCATCCTAAGCAACTAAGCAAGATCTTGTCTCAAAGTTAAGAAAAAAAAAGTCCTGAGGGTGGAGCTGCGTGTGGCAGAACACTTGCCTGGCATGTGTAAGACCCTGGGCTTCCTCTCCAGCACCTCTGTCCAAAATCTGGGTCCCCAGCAGAAGGGAATAGAATATCCAGAGTCACTGAGCACAGAGCCCTGGGCGCTGTGTAAGCCACCAACGGTGACTGATGTTCTGGTTGGATTCGTGAGTTCACACAGCAGGGGCTGGGAGGGGATGCACGGTCAACGCCAAGGTCACCCCAGGCAGGCCTCGCACCGCAGGGCGCTGGGGATCGCGGGGTGGGGTGCTGAGGCCCTTGGTCCCGGGCGGGGTGCAGGGTAGGGCGGAGTTCTGAGGAGTTAATGTTACACCGGGTCCAGAGTTTGCTGTGGGGAGGCCCGGCGGCTCAGCCTCACCGCCCTTATCCCCGCGGGCGCCCGGCTGGCTCGCTCCTGGCTGGCGCAGACCCGGACCTGACACCGGAGGCCATGAACGCCCTGGGGACGCTGCTCGCGCTGGGGACCTTGTTTCTGCCATCCGTCCAGGCCCAGCAGGGTAGGGGGGTCGCGGGGGCGCGTTCGGTCTGGGGTTTACCGGCTGCCCACTTTCCACGACCGAGAAACTGCGCCCTGGGCGAGCGTGCAGGGAGGGGCACCCCGTTCCCTCCCCGCCTGAGCCCCTCCCCTCTCCGGAGGTCCCCACTGTCTTAGCCCCGCTTGCAACCCTGCTTCTCGGAGTCCCCCTGCTCCCCCAGGGTCCCCCTCTGTCCCCCTTCGGGTCCCCTTCCCCTGTGAGCCCCGCCTCCTTCATAAGCCCTCCCCGAGCCCTGCTCCGCGCTCTGCGGCCGCCCTTCCTCTGCGGGCCCCGCCCCAAGCCCCGCCCGCCTCTGAGCCCCGCCCCTCTCCGGGAAGTCTCTGAGGTCTGTTCTCTGAGCGCCCCCAGACCCTTGTCCCTCTCCCCCTGGGGACCCAGCTCCCCCCGCCTCTGAGTCCCACCCCCCCTGGCAGCCGCAGGACGCCGCCTGAAGCCGTGGCTGGTGGGCCTGACGGCCGTCGTGGTCTTCCTGTTCATCGTCTTCGCGCTCCTGCTGGCCAACCGCGTGTGGTGCTCCAAAGCCAGGTGGGGCCCTGCTGCCGCGAAGCCTGCCCCCCATGTGTGGGCTGCTGCCCTCCGCCCCCTCCCCACTGCTCCTGAGCCGCTGCGGTTCCTCCTCTGCTCAGCCGTGTCCACGGCCACCTCCTTCCCCTGCTCCTCCTTAGACCCTGGGCCCCCTGCTTTCCGGAGCTCCTATGGGGGAGCTGAGGGCCGCCGTTTGCTCACCTCCTGCCCTTCCCCGAGCCTCATGCCCCGTCTCCATCTGCAGAGCTGACGATGAGGAGGCCGCCGAGAGAATGCAGCCCAACCCTTACGAGACCATGGGCCCGAGGTACTGTCTGAGCGCGTGCAGACCTGTGTGGTGTCAGGGAACCAAGCAGCCCCCATCCTTGCAACTAGGGGACTGGGTTGCATAAATGACTCCTGACTGCCCTCCAGCGCTCACCTGCCCCAGGACCTTTGCATGTGCGGTTCCCCCTGATTACTCACCTTTCTCTCTACCTCCTGCTGGCTCCTCCTCCTTCAGGCTCTGCTTAGGAGTTCACTCCCCACTCGGAGCACCAGCCCTCCTTCCCTGTCCACCAGCCCCTCGTCTTTTCTTCTTCACATTTAGTCACCTACTGAAAGGCTCCTATTCACAGAGGTCACTGCTCTAGACGGTGACTTCCAGTGTGCAAGGACTCGGCGTGGCCCGCACACAGTAGGCCCTGGGGACCCCCGGGACAAGGCCGTGGTGTAGGGCGAGCTCTCCTGGCCTCCGTGTCTGCCAAGGATGTGGAGAGGGCCTGGGGCGCGGTCAGTGCTGAGGGCTGTGCTGGGGCCCGCGGCGTGGACAGAGGAGAGGTGGATGGGGAGGGACCAGCCTGCCTGGGACTCAAAGTGGAGGCCGAGATGTTCAGGGGAGGGGTGCGGCCCTCAGGGCCGGCTGGCTCTGCGGAGGCCCAGTTCAGTGAAATGGACTCCTGCTCCCCAGATGAGTGAGATCCAGACCCCACCTGCGCCTCACCGGGGCCCGCTGCCCTCCCCCACCTCTCCCCCGCCCTGCAGCCACCGCCCGCCCATCTGTCCCCTCACCCACTCATCCGCCCTCCGAGCCAGTCTTCCCTCTGTCTGTCCTCTTCCCATCCATCCACCCCGCCACCCGCACCCGGGCCCCCGAGCACGGGGCTGCCGGCTCCGCCTTTATGGAGTTAAGGAGAAGCGACTTGGCGCTGTTACCATCTGGGGCCTTTGTGTCCCCTACAGGAAAGAAAGCAAGAAGGAGAAGAAGGAGAAACGAGGAGAGAGCAATCTAGGCCTGGAGCTGGAAGAAAAACAGCCCGCAGACGAGGAGGAGATCAAGACCATCATGTGAAGACGCCCCGCCCCGCCGTCCGGGCGGCCCCCGGCGCGGCCCTCCCTGAGCAGCACCGCAGCCGGGAGACGCGCAGCGATGCCAGCGGGGTCCTCGGGGCCACCCCTGCCCAGTAGTTCTTCCGGTCCCCACAGCTCGTGGCTCTGCCTGTTTGTACCCACTGCCTGATTTATTCTCCCTCTGCCCGATGTCTTTTGGCCAGAAGGTGCCTGTCCCCTGCAGCCTTAGGGCCTCACCGGCCAAGGGCTCACTGTTGAGGGACCCAATAAAGACTAATACAACCTCTTTATATTCAGGGTGTTTTGGCGGGGAGGGGTGAAACAGGGTCTCACTGTGTAGTCCTGGCTGGCCTTAAACTGGCAGCGATCCTCCCGCCTCAGCCTCCCACGTGGTGGGATTAAAGGTGTGCACCGCACACTCCATAGGGGTTCTCCTGGGGCAGCTGCTTGGGGCTGGGCGATGCCCGGGTGGGATGGAGGCTCCCACTTGGCAGCGTGCAGGTTGCCCGGCTGGGCACATCATACACTCATGGGGCTGATCCTGTTTTGTTGCCCTGAGTGCTGGACTTTGAGCCCCACCCCTGTCTGCTGGGGAATCATTACCACCACCACCCCGCATTTTGGGTCATGTGACTGTTCCTGGGCGCTTGGAGGGTGGGGTGCCCCAGGGCCCCCAGGTTTTGCCCTCCCTGTGTCTCTTCTCCCCATTTCCCCGTGCCCTGGACTTTGCCCGGGTCATTAACCATTCCTTAATGAGGACCTTGATATCAGCTGGGCGTCTGGGGCTCCACGCTGGGGCCGGCTGCTGGGGAGAGGGGAGCTTTGTCTGAGACACTTCCAGGATCGTCCACCAGGGGGCAGAACAGCTCCCAGATAACAGTGACAGACAGGGACAGGGCCAGCGACACCAAGCTCTCTGTGCAACCAACCACCTGAGCCTGGCGTGTTGGTGTTCGCCTGCCTGTGATCCCAGCACTCAGAAGGCTGAGGCGGGAGGAACCCCGCGAGTGTGGGGCCAGCCTAGACTATGTAGCAAGACCATGTCTGGGGAAACAAAAAAGGTTTATGAGTTATTACCAAGCCTAGTGCCTAGCTGCTCTGTCCCACAACCGGCTAGGCAGCGACAAGGACAGACAGACCACAACAGACGGAGCCTGGAAGACCCCAGCCAGTCCTACTTTCTTAAAGCGGTGGCCAGGCCCAACCTTGTAAGACACTGGGTGGGGGGAAGGGACCTCAACCTTGCTGCCTAGCTGCTGCCTGGCCCTGCTCCCCACCCAGTGGCCAAAAAAGAGTGTGCCCCCTCCTTCTGTGCCCCCCACCTAATGCAGCGAGTCTGACAGACGGGACCTCACCTGCCTGAGCCCCTCCCTTCCTGCCCTGGCTCCCTGGGCCCTCAGGGCTGTGTGAGTAAGGGAGTTGGGGGGCCAGGGAGGCATCCTTAGACTTGGCAGCTTGCGCTGTACCAATGAAACTGGTCCCTAATACATAGCTGTGGTTTTATTTGTCTTTTTGAGACAGGGTCTCACTATGCAGTTTAGGCTGGCCTTGAACTCACTTTGTAGCCCAGGCTGGTCTCGAAATCGCAACAATCCTCCTGCCTCAGCCTCCCTTGTGCTGGGATTACAGGCATGCACCACCACGCCTGGCCTTAATACATGTTTCTTTCTTTTTGGGGGGTGTGGGGTGGGGAATAGAACTCAGGACCTGCGCTTGCCGGTTAGGTGCTGCACTGCTGAGCTACATCCCCTGCCACCTGATGCATGTTTAGAGTGGGATTTGTGATGCCCTTGTATCACCCACCTCACTTTCTGTCTATTTAGCCGCCTACCCCTTTCTCTCTGGCTTCCCTCCTTTCCTTCTTCCACGCTCCCATCCATCCCTTTCCACCAAAGCCGCTCTCCGCATACCCCTCCGTGATCCATTCGACCACTCACACCCGCAACCCATCTGTCCACCTATCCACCGCCCACCCATCTGCCAACGCCCATGCGCTGGCCCATCCACCGCCACCCCCTTCCATCCATGCATCCACCTTTACCTAGCTAAGCCCCTGGCCCGGGCTGAGCCCTTGGCCTTGGTCGAGCCCCGACTCCGGCTGGTCTCTCCCGCTGGTCCCCTCTCTCCCGCTGCTGAAGGGGCTGGGGAAGGGGAGGAGGGGATGCGGCTGCCCCCAGCCTCCGCTGCGGACTTGGTTCCTGGGCTAGCGTCTCCTGTCTGACCACAAGAGGGCGCCAGAACCTCGCTGCTGAGGGCAGAAGGGCCCACCCATCCGGCGGCGAGGACACAGGCAGGGGACGTGTGGCTCCGGCGTCCCCCCATGCCGAGTGCGTCTTCTGTGGCTGTCCCTGGGCGGTGCCCTGTCAGGCGGTCATAGTGTGCCTGAAGCCTATCAATGATTCTTGCCTCCTTTCTGCCTCAGTTTCCCCATCTGTAGGAAAGGGTAGAATGGTCTCTGTCCTGCGGTCTTGCCGATAGGACGGAAGCTGCCCTGTGCAGCAGAGGACTCTGCTTGTTGACCCTCAGGTATCTGATGGGTTGCTGAGAGGACTGGCCTACTGGGCAGGCTGGGGGACCCCATCTAAGAGTCCCAAGATGTGGCTGATCCAACCTGGCAGCCTCCCTCCTCATCCCTACCCACTCCCACCCACCCACCCACCCGTCATTACTCATCCACCCCCCTCCACAGCTGTGTACCCACTGCTCCGTCCGTGTGCTCCCCCTGCTGGAGGAGACATGGCTCATCTGAGTGGACCACGAGACCGTGGGGATACAGGGTGCTCAGAAGCTCAGCAGCAGGCCTGCTGGGCAGGTGCAGGAAGGCTTCCTGGAGTGGGGTGTAAAACCAAGATAGGTCCCTCCCTCCCCTGTCCTCAGCCTTCCATGGCTCCCACCTCCTTTGGGAGCAAAGCCCAAGTCCTCCCTGAAGCTCACAAAGCCTCTGCATGACCCGCCCATCCCCTCCCCGCCTCCCCTGCTCCCTCTCTGACCCTCGCTCCCTCTGCTGCAGCCACACCAGCTTCTCGATGTTCCTGCACCGTGCCAGGCTCCTGTTGCCTCAGGGCCTTTGCACAGCTGTGCCTCTGCCCAGAACTCACTTCTGGCAGATACTCAGGGTGCTCACCGAATCCTGTCCCTTAGCCCTCTGTCTAAATGCTGCTCTTGCCAGGCATGGTGGTGCACACCTGTAATCCCAGCACTCAGGAGGCCGAGGCAGGAGGATCACTGTGAGTTCGAGACCAGCCTGGGCTACAAAGTGAGCTCAAGGCCAGCCTGAACTGCATAGCAAGACCGTGTCAAAAAAAAAAAAACAAAAAAACAACCTGCTCTTCACGTGAGGCTGGCTCCTCTGCCCTTGTTGCACTCTGGGTCTCCCGGGCTCAGTGTCCTCATTTTTACGGTCACTGTCCAGCCTGCCTTGACAGAAGTCATGGGCTCTGCAGAGGGAGGCCATTCCGGGCGTCCTCTTCCCTGTGCCGTCCCGGGGCCTGGTGCCGGCGCAGCAGAGCTCAGGCCACGCGTGTGCGAGGACAGGCAGTAGCCGGGGGAGGCCGAAGGGGCCTGCGCGGGTGTGAAGCACGGACCCCGTGGCAGGCCCAGCCTTGGAGGGGAGGCGCTGCGGTGCCCCGGGCCTCTCCACGGGTGACTGTGGGGTGCACTGATGGAATGTCTTGGGGACTGGGAGCTCCTGGGAAGGTGGGGCGGGGAGGGGGCTCCTTAGGGAGACAAGGGGGAGGACTCTACCTCGCCCCCACATAATGAAGACAGCTTCTCAGGCTTGGCGCTGCGGTGTCAGGGCCCGGCCCCAGCCTCCACCGGCTCCATACCAGGAGCTCCCCCGTCCTGACCACCACACACACCCCGAAGCCCTGTGGACTGTCCCCTGGGGCACCTGTGGCCATTCACAAGCGCTGCCCGGCACCCCAAGTGCTCCTGGCCTCTGTCCTCGGCCTCTGTCCCTGCGCCCGAGACACGGCAGCCGCGGCCGGACGCAGAAAGACCACGCCACAGGCCGGAAAGAGTCGAAGCATAGCTTGTTTAATTTTTATACATTTTTCCTTTTTTTTTTTTTTTTTTGCCTTTTATTGAATCTTTTATGGAACCCCCTTTTTTCAGTTTTTTTTGTTTTTGTTTTTTTTGTTTAGTTTTTGCATAGGGAAACAAACAAAATAACAGCCAGAGTCACTTTCAGTAAATGGTGCTCAGGTAGGCGCAGCGGTGGCGGGGCAACCAAAACGGGTGCGAGTGTACGGCGGCGACGGCGGGGCGTCCCGGGCCGGCCCCGGCCCCCCGCGGGCAGGGACAGCGGCCAGGCGGAGGCCACAGACCCGAGGGCGCCTTCTCCACCCCAGGTTCTGAGCGCGAGCGAGCGTGTGTGTGTGTGTGTGTGTGTGCGTGCGTGTGTGTATGTTCGCGCGCGCGAGCGCACGTTTCCGGGGTGGGAAGCAAGCGGAAAGCGAGAAAACAGAACGAACTATCCTGGTATTATGAGTAAAATACAAAATGGATACAACAATCTCAAAAAAAAATCTCAGAGGGAAAGTGAAAAGAGAATCAACACCCGAAAACGATGGGAAGAGGGAGCGAGACCCCCCTACGCCCCCAGCCGCGCCCGGCCGGGCTCGGCCCTCGGGTCGCTGCTTCTCCACGTGCTGGGGTGCGCAGGAAACTGGGGTGCGTGGGCTGGGGCCCCGGATGGGAAAGGGCTTTGGTTTCAGAGGGCGGCAGCCTGGCTGGGACCTGTGATGGGAAGACGGGGTGCAGGTGCCCTTGGGGAGTGGGAGACCGGGGTGCAGGCTTCCTCCCTCTCTGGAGCTCTGATTCCCACTGGCCCTCTCCTCTCCTTCCTGTCCCCCTCCTCCTCTTTGACCAGGGTCGGGGGCGAGCCCCAAAACCACGCCAGCAGACCTGTGAGGCACTGCTTGGGAGAAGTCTAATTTGGTATCGCGGGCAACAAGTTCCACTGCGTGGTTTTGACTCTGCCTCCCCGCCTCGCCGGGGGCCTGCTCTGACCCCCAACACTGCGAGACCCTCGGGGAAGTATGGAGGGGGTGCATGGGGGGAAACATCCGGAGGACAGGAAGCAGGAGGAAGCCGGCGCCCAGGGTCCCGGGGTGCGGATCTGACCCCCGACCGCTCCACAGAAGCAAAAGCCAAGGATCGGGGAGCGGCCAGGGCTGAGATCAGAGCGGCGCTGTCACCTTGTCGTAGAAACACGCTCCTGTCCTGGGGAGTCGGTACCGCGGGGCGGCCCGCTGTCTCCCGGAGGCCCCCGGCCCCGGTCTCACGTGGGACACCGCGAGCAGCCGTTCTCCCATTCTTGCCTGTGCCAGGGTGCTGACACCTCTGGGGACACGGGGTAGGCGGAGGACACACGGCGGCTGGGGGTCAGCGGCGTCCGCGTGGGGACCTCGGGGCTGCGCTGACCCCCCGGCCCTGGTGCTTCCCGCTTCCTCGGCTGCGCTCCTGATTGTCTCGGCTGCCTGAGTCTGGGCTCAGAACCTGGCTCCAGGCCCCGACAGGGGACCCCAGGTGCCCCTCTTCCCGGCCAAGTACAGCTGACCCGGCTGGGCGTCCCCATGTGGGGACGGGGACCGGGGATCTGCATCTGTCTGGCACCTTCTGTTCTCAAGGGCACACGCTGGGCCTGGGGTGGGCTGGGGATGTCGCGTGGGCGTGGCCAGCAGGGTGCAGCTTTTTGCTGGGGGTGGAGGTGGGCGGATGCCGGTGGGCTTGGGAGCAACAGGGTGGAGAGGGTGTCAGTTTCACACATGGAAGAGAGAGAAAAAGAAAAAAACAGCCTTCTGCCCCTACCCGGAGAGGGCGCCACCCTCTTCCACACCTGTGAATGCCCAAAGCAGGGCTGCACGGGGAACCCTGGTTTCTGGCACTTCTGCCTGGTTCTGCCCTGCGGCCCGGGACTGAGAACTATAACTTCTTGAGACAACGTGAGAGGGGAGCCAGGGGGCCAAGCACCCGGCGCTAAAGGCTGCCTGGCACAGCCCTACTCTCCCAGCCCAAGAAAAGCACCCTGGGGCACGCAGGGCTGACTACCCGCAGCAAATTCGGGCTGAGCATAGCACAGTGACTCCGGGTCAGGTGTGCCTCCGAGGGCGCGAGGGAGGGCGGGAGGGCCGCGCAAGGTGGGGGCGGGGAGCCGGTGCCCCACCCACAGCGGGCTGTGTCTAGGCTTTGGTCAAGATCAAAGCAAAGGAAGTTGGAAATAAAAAAAGAAAGAACAAGAAAAACAAATCAAAGACAAGAGCCAGGCTGGCAGGACACCAGGACAGAGGCCCGTGACTCAGTATCCCCCCGTGTCCCTCCACCGACTGAGTGCGGCCCCAGGTACAGACAGACAGATATTGCATATATGGGGGGATGTTTTGTTTTTCATAGCAGTCTTCATTTCACAGCTGGAAGACGGAGTACGGGAGTGGGGGGACCCCCGGCCGGTCTCCAGGATGGAGGGGAAGTCAGGTCCTCTGGTGAGGAGGGTGGGGTGCACAGAGGGACGGAGGGGCTGCCGTGAGGGTGGGGCACACATCTGACCCCACCAGCCTGCTTAGGGGGTGGGGACAGGGCTGGGGGCTCTGGCTGCGGGCAAAGTGGCCACTCTGCGGTGGGGGGACCGCCTGGGGTCTGTGCGTGCCATGTGGGGGGTGCCCTGGGCCCAGTGACCCCAGAGAGCCTCGCTGACCCAGGACCAGGGCTCGCCCCTGAGGTCTGACCCCGGGGGTCCTGGGACTGGGGCCAGGGGTGGCAGAGGCGAGCACCAGGGAGCAGCCACACCCCCACGCAGTCAGAGCCAGGGGGGGGGGGGGGGGGGCGCAGGGCAAACCACAGCGGGAGGGGGTTGTTTTTGTGGCTTACTTCATAGCAATTTTCATCTTTTTAAAAAATTCTCATTTTCTTATTTATTTATTTTTTTCTTACAAATAGAAATACATCCCTTTTCAATTTTTATTTTTTATGTCATTGTTTTCTCTTTCTCTCTCTTTTGCTTAACTACACGTGCATTTCATGCAACTGTGCGGATATTGTTTAAAGGTAATAATACTTATTCTCCAAGGCAAGGCACGTCATGTGGTAGAAAATTTCGTGCAAATTAGGAAAAAAATGGAAATTTTCTTAAAGGAATTTTTTTTTTTTTTTTT